TCTTAACTTTAATATTTTAAATTTTCTTCTTTTTATGTCTAAAACTTTGTTTTTCCCGTTATTCTTTATGAGCGCTGACGTCAAAGTCCGGTATGGCCGATTCGATACTTATATAATTTGCTTTCTTGACGATTTTAACTTAACAAACTTTTTTTCTTATATCTTTCCCTTTTGTGGGGGCTATTTCCGGGGCCTCACATAAATATACAGCCAAGATCCCACTATTGTATCAAATAAAATATTATTTTTCTTCTGTGCCATATCCATTTCAGAGTAAAGTAAATGGCTAATTTTCACATTCAATATTACGACGTTATATTACCATGCATTTTATATTATAGCTTAAAACCCCAAACCTAATTATACAGTCGATGTATGCCGGCAGTGCAATATATTGCTATATATAAGTTACGTAGTGTGAATTTATAATTATTATTCGAAAGTAAATATCTTACAAAACTAAAAACTGGAAAAAAATAATAATAAGAGAAGAAAAAGGAAAATCAAATTGCAAATTAATTATTCAGGGCTATCTGTTAAAAATTATCATACTTAAATTAAACTGCTTACATCGGTACTTATTTTTTGATAGTTTATGATATAAACTGTCAACAAAATATCAGCAGGACCCATTAAAAAAGAATGTCATGAATTATTCAAGGAATTAATTCAATATCAATCTCACAAAGTTTCAAGTTTTAATTCTTAGAATTTCTAAAAAAACTACATTATCATATATAAAAGGACATAAATTTTCACGTAAAATTAAAACAAAGTCTAAAAAAGATATAGTATATCAATACAGTTATAAGAAAAAGCGAACCTGCTAGAAAATTCTTAAACAATCTAAATTTCATGCAACTGAATAATATTAACATAAATTTCGGAAACATAAAATAATGATGAGTAAATATGATATTTTTATCTTAATTTATGGAGTAATTGAATAAGTTTTATTTTTATCCTAATTTCAGCTTTATTTAAAATCATTCTAAAAATGGAATTTTATTTTTAATATTTAAAAATTAAGATTTTACAACGATTAAATAACGGGTGTCCGGAAAAACTCCTCACAAAATATCTCGACCGTAATATAACACCAATAATTTCTAATTATGCTGCACATGTAATTATTTGAAAGCGCGTGTAATACGTAGGAAATTATCGAATCTTTTTCTGAATTCGATTTTCTGCTTCAAAATGGCAACGAAAGACGCTTTACGTCTAAAAGTACAATGACTTTTACACATTAAATAAAAGATTAGGAAAGAGTTTACCTTAAACCACACGGCACAATTATACAAGAAATGCGCAATTTTAGAAACCTGCCAGGAATGTCTTTTACACAGAGTGTCTCAAAATAACTTCCGCCGTCGTAGCTACAGTATATTACTGTCTACAAGGTTAGGAGAATTTGTTCATGCCGAACTGTAGTGAGAATTAAACGTGGTGACCTGTGGACACTCTATTATAATACACTATTCCGAAGTTATTCGTGGACACCTGTGTAAAAATGTTTACTCGGTATTCTTTTTTTTCTTTAATTAAACAAGTTATCTTTTTAGAAGGCCAGTTTTTAATGTGATGCTAGCTAGGACTGTATTGTTGTTTTCCAGCTCTACCATTATATTTATAAACAACTTCTTCGTTATAAAAACCATTTCTTCTACTTCAGTAATTTTTCAGGGGGTGGGGTCCATCCGGATATGTCGGGCCTTGTCCCTCACCATCCGGCCTCTCCATTGTGGTCTGGCCAAACCCATAGTGGGCTTTTTTTTAAACTCTTTCCGCCCTGTGGGCACTAAGAGGGCCTTTTTGCAAGCTCATTATGGGTTCGGCCAGGCCCACAATGGGGCTGCCGGGTGGTGAGGGACGGGGCCCGACATATCCAAACGGACCACCCCGCCCCCGAAAAATTCCTGGGGATTTTTCGACCCAGTTCGGATTCGAACCCGGGTCCCCCAGAGCGGTGGGCTTCCACATTGACCGCTCGGCCATCCGCCGCCCCATAGTGGGTTTGCTTAAAGAGGCCCTCTTAGTGCTCACAGGGCGGAGAGAGTTTAAGGAAAAAAAACGGGAAAGTAATAATACATTTAGTATTAAAATGGTTATCAACTTTTGTGTTTATAAAATAATGAATGGCCACAAAAAATACATTATTTCTGAGCTGATAGAAGGCAATTAAGAGTTTAACTTGAATTCAACTGCAATTGAATTCGTAATTCATTTATCAACCGATAAAAATTAAGAAGCAAGTAATTCAGAATCATATACTGATCATATATGATTCTGAATTACTTACTTCTTAATTTTTTAAAACTCGAAAAATCTTAAAGTATAGTTTCAATATTATTTTAAAAATATAAAAACAAAATTCATTCCTGAAAATACCTAATTATCACATGCTATACTTTACGTTTTCTTCAGTCTACCTAACAAAATTACATTAAAAAGACTTTTTCTCCTGACTTCTCTTATTAACATTTTTTCTTTTTTAATTCAAAGCAACAAGTCTTTATCAAAGACCATAAACATTATTTAAATTTTAGGTATGAACATTACAAGGCATAAGTTTCATCTTCGCAATCAACAGTTATAAACAAGAAAAACAACTCATAATTAATTGGTTCAATTGCCTGGTGGCTCACCAGTGGCCAAATGGTCTTCGTTTCTTGAACACTGGGAGTTCGGTCGTGGGTTTGCCCCTCGCTCAGTTGGCCACGTGGAGTTTTCCGGGTTTTCTCCACGTCTGTAACGCCTGAATAGGGGTCAGTTACCCTTAAAAAGATCTCCCGGAAGGCATCACCCCGTATGCAGATCGTCCAAGTGTTGCGTTGCCGTAACTAAACAAGCAAATAAATGCCTTGTAAAATAATTTAACAAAACCGAAGTTACCAAATGAAAGAAGCTGTAAACCTTGTATAATTCCAGCATTATATTTAATTTAACAATTTTGACCTACTTCCATAAGCATTCTTCAGTTGGAACATCAAACTGTTCCAACTGAAGGTTTATGGAAGTACAGTAAGACCCCAATTAAAGCCGATTCGATATAACGCGGTATGCTCAAAGCCTAAAAAAGCTCAAAATTTACGCTTATTCAAATTATCGTGGCATTTCATTGATTCGTATATAATATGATTATTTGCGAACACGAACCAATCAGCAAAAGGTGGCAATTCGTCGTAGCGCTGTACTTCCCTTAAATCCATGTTTGTTTGGTGAAATTTTGGAAAAAATATAACATTGTGGGATGCTATAGGCAATATCGACTTCGCTTGGCAAGAATTAACTGAAGTGTAGAAGTTATGGCTGAAGATATCCAATTATTCTCAACGAGAACGGGCCTATCGTTGACCAAATTGTCAACCTAACCGATACAGAACTAGATGTAAACGAGGAGGATATTGAGGAGTTACCGCAGGTTTATGGTGAGAGCCTTACCAACGAAGACCTCCAAGAACTGCCAAAGTGTAGAACTGGAAAATGATGATTCTGAACCCAAAGAATTTCTCTACAAATTTCCTTAGTAAAAGTTTGCTAACGATAACCGAAATCGTTGATCAAATTGTAGCGAATGATCCAGATTTTGAAAGGACTTCAAAAGCAAAACGTTTTGGATGCAATCTTCTACTACCGACGTTTGCTTAAGGAAAGAAAAAGAAAGCGACATATGAAACTACACGGCTTTATGGCAAAAATCAAGAATTTCAGACCTTCGTCATAAAAAACGAATTCTACACTTCTGTGTGCATATGTTAATGTTATTTAACATATGCATATTAATATAAAAATATCTTTAAAGTAAAATCTGTTTATTTTTAGTCGCGTATTCCCCTTTCCCTATTTACTGTGTTAAAATAACCTCGTTTAGCGCTTTGTAATCTAGAAACGTATCCCGCGTTAAGCGGGATCTTACTGTAGGTCAAAAACATTTTTGGTTAATTAAATATAATGCTGAAGTTATACAATGTGTACTGCTTCTTTCAATTGCACGATAAAGTGGCCATTGATTTCTAACACTGCCTTATGTAACAAATATTAAATATACAATTTTTATAAAATTTTTCATTAAAACAGGCTTTTCGTACTTATTAACCACTTATTAAAAGATTTTTAAAAAATCTTCAGAACTTTGTCTAAACCTTTTTAAATATAATTAAAGCCAGATTATACTAGATACGAGTTAAAATTTTTTTATATAATGAAGTCCCAATCCATAAGCATAACTCATTCATTTCTTTATTAACATTTACCATTTTGCCATCCAAAATAATTTGTAGTGTTATTGTTATAGCTATCTTGAGAAACACTTGTTGCTTTAAGTTAAAATTTGTTAAATAATCATCATCTGTTTTACTTTGAAATATTTCTTGCAACATTAAAAGATAACTATAATTTGAATTTCTTACCTCATAAGCAAATATACGAGGGTCGTCCNTTTCTAGACAAAGACATTGTCAGACATTTTTCATTTTTTCTTCACCAGTCTGTCAAGCACTACTCCAATGTAATCATTATTTTCTTTTTATGATTTCTCTGTTTGAAATTTAAAGTTTGACTATCATTGAAATGTATATTCCTGATTAATTTCAAGACTGATTAATTCATTTAAGATTTCAAACAAATTAAATTCAAAATGAATGAGATACACAGAATATAAACAATGATGATGTTTTCACAAATGTATTCATCTCTGTCCAAATTCTTGTCAAAAAGTTAAAAGAAAGTTTAAAAAACTTATGCTTTTCTTAATAGTAATAGTTTTATACTGAAATAAAAAAATCAGAATATTTAAGAAAAAGAAAATAAGCAATTTTAAAATATTATATTTTAATTAATTAAAATTTGTTTATTTTCTTTTTCTTAAATATTCTGATTTTTTTGAACTTCAAATTTCATTTTTGTCTTGACTTTCTTATAAAATTATATAATGATTTAACTTTTTAATAATTATATAAAACTTCTAAATTCTTTAAACATTTTTTAATTGCTGAAAAATGACTATTTACAGTTGAGAAAATTTAGTAATTAAAATTAATTTAATGTATATTTTTTATTTTACATTAAAGATAATAAATGTAACAAACACACAAAAAATTATTATTAATAAGATTGAGTACTTTATTTCAATTGAAATATTATAATAAACTGTAAATTAATTACTATTTAATGATCTTTTTCAAGATTTACTTTTCTCTGCATGTAAACTTTTTCCTTTTGCTTTTAATTTACTTTTAATAATATTTTCTTCTTCCCTTTTCTTCTCTTCTTGTTTTTCCTGATGATGCTTTTCGGCAAAATCGACTTCTTTCAATAAGTCTGTAATAATTTTCTATAAAACAAGATAAATTTATTAGTTTAGTAATCTTCTTACTATTCCTTAATGAATAAAACTTTTGTTATAACAAAATAAAAATGTTAATTGAAAGCTTAAAATCCAATGTTTGATTAAATGAAATATTTACATTACAAGCAATAATCATACAGAAGGAAAATCTAAATTATACATGTATATTCGTACATATTACAAAATATACATACTGTATTAATATCATATAGTACCAGCCATGGAAATTACATCACCTATGATAAATAGGAAAAAGTGGTCAACAGATGTGCAAAGTAACATACTTAAGTTATAACTGTGATTTGTAATTATATCATAGATGGTATAAAGATGATGATGAGAGTAATAAGCCAAAAAATCCAATTATTACATATCAGGAAAACTGAAACGTCATTGTTGAAAATCAGAGTTCAGAAAAACTGATTTTATTTAAAGATAGTGAAAAAATTAATTAGGATAGTATTCCCCATTGTTAGTTATGTGCCAGATATTCAAAAACAGGTCAAATGTCAGCATTTGATCCATTTTTGAATATCTGACACAAAGAAAGATGGCTGCTTGAATGCAAAGAAGCTGTCCACTTCCTTTTTGCAGTTCAGTCAGCATTTGACCAATAACAAACAGGATTTTGCAGAACAAATAAGTAAAAATCTGACAGGCAAGATATGGTGAATGTGGTGGGTGAGCAACAAGTCACAGCTCAGCTGCTGCAAATTGTTGAAAAAGACTGATTGCCTTTTTTTAATGGTATGGGATTTAGTGTTTTCTTGATGAAACAAAACTCCCTTCTGGTTGACTAATGATGGAAAAGTTTTGGAAATCTTTGCAGCTAAGTTATTGAGCATATCACAGCAGCTGTCACTGTCAATTACTTTGTCCAATAGCATCCTAACCTAACAATCATAAATGATACTTTAACAATCCCAGAGCACACACAGCATCTTTTGGTTGCTCAAAGCTAGCTTAGATAGTTGGTGCTTATTTGCCAGGTATCACATAGGCACTTTGGGTAATTGGATTGTCATAGTAAATACACTTCTTGTCACTGGTCACAAAGTGATCAAAGACTGGACAGTTCTGGCAGTGATGCTCATATGGAAATGTAGTCAGGTTGTATGGCATCCACTTTCTGTTTGTATACTTTGATGGCAACCTCAGTGGCATGTTATAGCTTCATGGAGCACAGGCAAATTTGAATTAGGGGTCACATGTATTGCGTAGATTTCAGACACAATACATTGTTTTTTTGGGGGAATTTTTTAAAGAAATATTGTTTTGGGGCCCTCTGTTGGTGAGGCAATTGTCCATTTTGCCCATAGGATATTGCACCACTGGAGACCCTTGATGCTTAGTTACTTCAGTGTCATGCTGAAGACTGAGTGAAGACAGTTCAAAAACTATGTCCTCCAGTGTGATCTGGGCATTCTTGGAAACTACTACCTCACCAGATCATCATCAATCTCCTGTGGTCATCCAGAACTTGGCTTGTCTTCAGTGTTGTAGTCTCCAGATCTGAATTGAGTGAACCAATTTATGACAGTGCACTAATTATACATTGTCACTGTAAACTCTTGCTATATTTTCAACAGTATGTTTTATGGAGGATCTGTGTTGAAACTCAGAGAGCTTGCTGATCTTTCCAATGATTTTAACTGACATTTTTGCAAACTTTTTGAAATTTACCAAAACTCAAAACACAATTTTGTTATATCTCTTACAAAAGTGTTTTGAGCTACCAGTTAAAAAAGCATTCTTTTAAAATTCTTACCATAACACTGCCTACAAGTTTTTTTCAAATGCATTTTTTTTTTTTTTGTAAAAATAATTTTTGAATTGACTTGTTAGTAAGTGTTATTTCACACCACAACTTCACTACAGCCACTGTAAATGATCACTGTCACAAGAACTTGTAATTCACAATTATGGCAACAATGTTTAAAGCATAAATAAACCTGAAAAATATAGAATGAATAGCTATTTCTTGTTGAATGGGATCCCAATACTTCTAAAGACTGGCTTCCATATTACCAGAAACAGAAATGGAAAAGTGATATCACTTCCTGTGTAGAAATTTCTGTTCAACAAAATCCAGTTGGAAACCTAGATTAGAAAATACTTCAACTTTTCTATTTCTGTTGGATCTTCCATTGTGTTTTGATCAATTGAAAAACATGAAAGTTATGACATAGCAGTAGTAATGTTTTTTACATCTTGTTGCATCAAAGGACAATGACTATTCAAAAAGAGTGAGGCAAAGCTAAGAAACAGAATTAGAAATGCCAGGAAGTATTCTTTGTTTTATAATAAAATATAAAGATGTCAATCTTAATTAGAGACTACATGCTACAATCAATCTAGTTCTGCTTGTGATATTCTGGTATTGCAGAAACAAAACTAAGCAGAAAATGAAGGAAGAATATAATGTACAGTAGTTATTTTTTTGTTTCTGCTTTTCGATAATGTGGAAACCAGCCTTTAGATCATCTTGAGCCTTAATAACTCTGACATAGAGTGGATAATTTATTCAAGTACTCTGTACCAAGCTCATGATAGCAACTTTTCTAACACATTCCTAATATTACTGTTTAATTTCAGGCCTCTTCTCTTCAATTTTCATGCCTATTATATGACAGCAGTTCTCAACAGGATTAAAATCAGTCCTGTTATCTGACCAGCTTAGGCATTTGTTCTGAGCCTCTAGTAAGAATCTGTTTACCTGAACTACAATTTGTGTTAGTTTAAGTGATAATAATGCTAACAAACTGTAGAGAAAGAACATATTATACTATATTCACCATCTTTTCCAGGTACAGTGTCATCCTGGAAAATGCAGTTATCACAAAATTTTTCCTTAATTCTTGAAATTAGTTCAGCAAATAAGATGTTTCTGTACTACTTTGCATTCACAGACTCATTCATAAAGTGTAGGCATGCCAACACCTTTATTGCATACACATCCTTATATTATTTTACTTACTAAAAAGTTTATTGTCTACATTAAGCAATCCTCATTAATCCTTTCCTACTCCTAACAAAGGGTTTGTTGTCAGATCCATGCAGGTTAAATTTAAATTTATCCAAAAACATAACAGAATCAATTAACAAGTATGTTCCTGCAGACTAAGACACTTTATTATCCAATCCTGACATGGAATAGTCACACATTTATCTCCTGATCCACCTTTTCTTTCAGCATCACTATGTTGAAGTTTCCTTTGTAACAAGCATATAGTTGTTGATTGATGACAATGCACTCTCTATGTTATTTTACAGAGGATAAACTTTCAGCATTCAAAGAAAAAATTACAGATATTTTAAGCAGTGTTAACTGTTATAAAAGCACACCACCTTTGCATAAGTGTTTATAACAATAGATGATACAATCATAGGAAACATTGCTGCAGTAGACTTTGTCTGACAATAAAAAGTGTTCTCACATTTATGATGTCATGGATGATGCAATCTTTATAATTTCTTGCAAGACTTTAGTAAAATAATACTTTAAAAAATAACAAATTTTACAGCTTTTTATAAGTGATAAAATTTCAATGGCTGCTACTGTAAATATCATAACCAGTAAATCAAGTATTTTTACAGATTTTGTTTTTTAAATACTTTTTTTGCATATTATCAAAATGTATCTACAGTAATGTCAAATAGATACTAAAAAATGCTCTAATCAGCAACTGAAACAATTTTTTAATGCAATTTTTAAATCAATAATCGGATTTTGGATGTTTTGATATTTCATTTTCAGTTGTAATAGCATTAAAAATGAATTATTTTAAAATAATAAAAAATCATTGCAGAACTGGAGGAAATGTCAAGAAAAGTAAAATTCACATCTTACAGAAACTCCAGTAAAATAAATTTGAATAAAAAAAATAACACCAAAACAAAAACAGAAAAAATAGACATCATAAAATACATAATAAACTAAATTTATGAGTGCATCATAATAAATACAGAATGGTATAAAAACTTGATGTGTGCCCTTTTCGGACTGGTAAATTCTTAAATATGACATTTAACAAAGTATTATTTGATAGAAAAGACCAAAACTAATGAACAGGTAAATTTATGTCATCAAGAACAATAAACTCTATATGAAAGACATTATCTAAATATTGATAATTAGTTAATGTGTAAATGAAGTTTACACATTATTTTGCTTCGATACTCCATTACCAGTATATACTAAACAATACATTTTAAATCACTTTGTATCAATTAAAATGTATTGTTTGACAAAATCTGTTCCATTCTGAATGTAGTTTGTATAAAAATAGTTGAAGATGGGAGAAAAAGACTTATTGAATATATTTTGATAAAATAAAAATATTAACTTCTTAATTAATAGTTTATTGTTGAGTGTAATTACCTTCACTATTTTTAATACTATTAAACTAAGTAGATAAATAAATCTGGAAATTAGATATGTTCAGTCATTTGAATTAATTAAAAAGAAAGAAATCCAAACTGGAAAAATTTAAATATTAATTACATCGGTAACCTTTGTTTTATTTCAGTATTACTTTAAAAATGACAAATATTTTCAAACAGCTTGACTGCCCTACTTCGGGTTAGTTACACACATTCTAATTAGAATGCTCATTCTATAGCATTCTGCATACATAACAGCACACATATCAAGCATTTTTTTGAATATTTTTGAAATTTCTATTCTAAATGTAATAGTATTTTCTGTCAAATGATAAAACTTTTTTTTTTTTTTTTCCTGATGACTACCTCTAAACTGTAGCCAAAACATTATAACATTACAGTTATTTGCTGGAAATCACATATAGGTGTTATTTTCACAGCATTCTGCATTCTAGTTGAATTCAAATTTCAATTATTTTTAAAATTTACAAAATTTAAAATTACCAAATTAAACTTTACTACTAATGTACTCTATAATTTCGTGTTAACACCCCATAGTTTAAATGAGTTATTATAGTAATCTGTTTTCTCAGGGTTATCAT